ACCCAGAAGGCAAAAGTCCAGATGCAGATTTGTCTGTGGAGGGGATTTCATGATGCTGTTATAAAAGCTGCAGAGGCTGATAAACTGGTATTAAGGAGGGTGGGTGTGTGTGTGTGTGTGGGGGGGGGGGGGGGAATCTTCATTTCTACCCACAAGCAGCACACTGTAATGTTTAACCCAGATTAGTTTAATAGTCTAAAAAGTCACCACCTCCACTAACTGGTTTCTGTCGTCATTCCTGAGTTTCCCACCGACTCTCCCATAAAACAGGAAACTAGAGCGCACAGATAAAGCCAATGAAGGCACTGCTCATCTCTTCTTCATGGTTTATATTTTTAGTTCTACCTGTTTAGTGTGTGTGCTGATTCATGATTCAGGAGAACAAAAACAACGTCAGGCCCATCTGTTGTTTTCCACGAAAGTGTAAACAGACTCCTCCATATGCAGCTATTGTAGGGTATATGCTGCCTCTCTGTGGTGGCTGAATGAATTGCAATCTTAATTTTTCCTTTTTATAAACACCTGAAGTTCATATTTTGTACTTTAGATGTCAGCATTTCAACTTTTATTTTAACAGGTTTGAGAACATGTTTTCTTTGTCTCCTATTTTTGTGATTTGGCTTTTAACCCAGCACGAGTCTTTTTAGTGTTTTATCAGTGTTAGATCTTAAGCTTTAGTTTTTTATGCATTTTTATGTTGTGTATTATTTTTATGTTTTGAATGTCTGTGAAGCACTTTGGTCAGTTCTGTACCAGTGAAAGGTGCTATACAAATAAAGTTACCTTGCCTTGCCTTTTACACAATAATCTAGACCTGATATGAATCATTATTAATGTGTCCGTTATGTCTTGCGTCCGCATCTGTTCCTGATTTATGTTCAAAGGAGGTTCTGGGATTTAAAAGCAGGGATTTGACCGATTGTATTTGACACTTTTTTAAAGTTTAAGTTTGTAAAATGTGTTTCTGTACACCACAAGTTGTACCCAAATTATTAGAAGATGCAAAGCCTCATAAACTAAAAAGTTGTGTATCAGTGTCACTCATGAAAGCAGAATGTTGACGTCTATAGAGTGTTTCACAAACGAAGCAGATATTTTCAGATCCCTTTTTTATGTTCCACAAAATAAAATAAAATATTTAAAAACTAAATTTAATGTTTAAATTGTTTAAATTTTAAACAAATATAATGAATGAGTGGATGAAATATTTTTATGAAAATGTAAAAATTATGATATGATATGATATGATATGATATGATATGATGTATGATGCAATGCAATACGATTCGATATGATATATGATATTCATGATATGATGCAATGTGATACAATACGATATGATACAGATAATATGATATGATATGATATGATATGATATGATATGATATGATACGATATGATATGATACGATATTCATGATATGATGCAATGTGATACAATACAATATGATACAAATAATATGATATGATATGATATGATATGATATGATACGATATGATACAGATACTATGATATGATATGATATGATATGATATGATATGATATGATATGATATGATATGATATTCATGATATGATGCAATGTGATACGATACGATATGATACAAATAATATGATACGATATGATATTCATGATATGATGTGATGCGATATGATATGATACGATACAATACGATGCAATACAATACAATATGACATGATAAAACTAAAACAGGCGTAGAAATTAGAATCTTGTACAACAATATATGTTGATCACATTAAAATATGCAATTACAAATACGGGCAACCCAGTTGCTATTCTATTTTTTCTTGTAGAATAATTTTATGACAGCCTCATTATTTTGTCCTCCCTGTGTATTTGTTGTCTGTTTGTGGCGTTCTGATGTCCCTTTCCCTGTTTGTGTGGTACGGTAAAACTGTTGAAACAATGAATAGAATCACAAATCTTTCCCAAAGTTAATTTATTTTCCACAGTACTGCACTTATTCAGCAAAAAGAGGCAGATTCTACAACACATTTGCATAAAAATAAAATCTAATCACATGTTTTAGCTGAGAGTCAATCTTAGCTGTAACAGTGTGTTGATCATCATTTAAGTTCAGAAAACGACCAAACTTATTCAAAAACATCTGAAACCAAAACACAAATTTGAACTCTTTTTTAAATCTATACTTTAAAACTAGATAAAGTGAACGGGTTTGTTAACATAAGGTCAAAGGTCAATTTACTTCCAAGAGCTAATTGTCACTCTCACATGACGACTGTGAAACAAACAGTGTAAAAAGCAGCTGTCACCTCTGACCTCTCTTCCTAAAAGACGTTCCTTCCTGCCATTGATCCCTCAGATTCCTCTGATGTTGAGGGTAAGTGTGAGAATTCCCGTCCAGATAATAAAAAAAGGGAATTTCTGAGTCATTACAGCGTAAAAGTTGCCAGACGGTGGATCATTAAAGCCTGCTGGGGTGCGGGCCAAAGACGGTTTCTCTGGGAGTTTTTAATCATTTTGATTCCACACACTCAGGTGTTGGTGTCAGCTGCACGCAGTTAACAGCAGGAACCTTAATGCTGGCCGACAGGTAAGCACTTCCTCTAAATCATCCTCATTTCTGTTATCATTAACCCGATTCCATCTTTAAAACCCTAAGTTTTTAATTGCCTTACTGCATTTAGAAATAAAAATAACACAAATAATCCATGCATGCATCTAAAAACATCACATCTTTACATATTACAGAGAACCTTGCTTTAAATTGAATATTTAGTGTGCAATTTTGAATTTAGCATCAACTATGTGATCCCAAACTTATTAGTGTTGTTTGTTCAACATTTATGAAGAATAATGTAATTTTTAATACTTTCCAAACCTTTTGTTTGAGCTGTTTTTGTTTTTTATCCACAGACAAAATGCTCCAAGTTCTCAGATTCCTGATCATTTTCTTCACAGTTTCAGGGCTTTCCTTTGCGTTTCATCCATGTAAGTATGACATTAAAGACATGTGATTTGACTAGATTTTCAGAAAGTAATACTTCAAAAGCAATCATCTAAAATTTGCAAATGAAAGGTAGATTTTAAACTGTTCACATGAAAATATGCTAAGTCAAAAGGCCCAATATTATAATTTTTAATAGTTAAACATGCATAGTTGTTTATTATTGCTTTAATTTAAAGGTGTAGCTGAGGGGGAAAAAATTGTGTTGATTTTTGTTACTTTTTTCATCTTGTTTTTGTTTAATCTGAAGTTTCAACCAGAGATGGAAAACCTCTACAACAAAAGCCAGAAATGCAGATTTCAGCGCGTGAAGCCATTAAGAACATGAACACAAATGGAAGTCTGAGTAGAAATCAGGGAAATGGAACAGATGACGGAGAGACTCCACAGAGAGCTCCTGTGAATATTATCTCACAAAAAGACAGAAAAACAGAGAAATCCTCACTTTCTGACAGTAGGGATGAAGATGGTGTGAAATTAAGTCGGACGAAACGTTTGAAGCAGGAAAAAGTAGAAGAGGAGAGCAGAGAGAAGCTGGTTGCAGGCGTTTATCTTCATCACACAAGAGAAGACACTGAAGCGGATGAAAACATGCCAAAAGTAAAACAGGAAGTTAGAAAAGGAGAAAAAGAAGACAACAAACTAAAAGCAGCAAAGCAGGAGGACATAACAAATGCAAATCAAAAGGAAGATCACAAACTAATGCCTCTAAGCACATCGTTTGATCAGTCAGAGATCCTGGTGTCAACGCAAACTACCACCCAGCTACAAAATCCTCCCAGTTCTCCTCTTTTGATTAATCGGAATGTTCTCCCATCACCTCCTGGTGTCTCCACGGGAGGCCCTCCACATGCAAACATCAAGCTGAGGAAGGCTCAGGTGCAAACTCGCCTTCATTCAGAGGATGGGATGGCAGAGCCCACTAATGTATTTGATGATGAGGCGAAAGAAGGGGAAGCGATCTCTACTTTGCAGGCAGCAGAGCCGAAGCCAGCGGAGGGGAGGTTTATAATTAGAGATTTAGCAACAAAAGAGCCAAACCCTCCACAAAAACCAACTGAAAACATAATAAACACAAAGAAAATGGTCACTCTCTCAAAGGAGCCAAACGCAGAACAAACCCCAGCTGAACCCAGAAGCGTCCAACAGATGGAGAATGACACCACGAATCCGATGGAGCAGAACAAAATATTTCCTCAGCAACCACAAGTAACCAAAACGTCAGCCGACCCACGTCTCACCACTGCCACTGCACCTTCACCAGGGCCAAGAAAAACCAACAAGGGCAGCAAAAACAGGACGAGGAAGAAGCAAAAGAAACAGACGACGGATAATAAAACACAAAAACCACAGAAGGAGAAGAAAAACACCCCGGTGTACTTCCCGTTCTTCAAGGATGACTACTGTCCACCAGAGTGTGCCTGTTATGGAAGGTAAGATGTTCAGAAGTACCAGCTGGTGGAAGAAGATGTTTAAAATCTAAGAAATATTACAAACTTCATGCTGTGATTGCAGAAAAAACATCAAGTTTTGGTGTCTGAAGTGAAACAGTTTTTGTTTTGAACTCAAAACAAATGCAACACTTTACATTGCATGTTTATGGAAGTTGTTGGTCTCTCCTGTAAAAGGGTCACACCACGCAATGTATTATTTTATTATATTATATTCAAGCTGAAAACAAAGACAGAAATTTAGACCCCCCCTCTCCCAATTATAGTTTTTTATCTCCTGGCAAAAGTCAAACTAAGTGAATAATATATTTAGCACAAATTCAGAAGCTAATTTGAACAATTTTACCCTAATTTTAGCATATTTTCTTTTACTATTTTAGCAAAAATATAATTAATTCATTCTCTAGCTTAACTTTCTTTATCATCCTGGCTGGTGGACGAAATATAAAGATGCATCGTTTTATTATTACAAGAATGAGTCGGCAAAATGTTGCTCTGAACTGGTCTGAGAATTGTTTCATAACGAGTTTTTACCCCGAAGACTTTAGTTTTTTCTAACAAAATGTGTATAAATGGCAGCAGGTATTCCTTGTGCCTTATTAGGAGCATTAATGTCGTGTGTTGTTTTCCAGAGTTGTCCAGTGCTCAGATAAAGGAGTCCAACAGGTTCCCTATGGAATTCCCTATAACTCCCGTTACGTCCTCCTGATGAATAACCACATCAGCAGCATCCAGCTGGATTTACTCCGTGAATATGAATCGATGGAATTCCTCACTCTGAGCAACAATCAGCTCACAGACGGGTCCATAGAAGGAGCTTTTGATGGAGTTCCAGCTCTGAAGCGTCTCTTCCTGGATGGAAACCTCCTCCAGAGCGTGCCGACTGACCTTCCAGGTTCTCTTGAGGAGCTTCGTCTGGACGGAAACCACCTGAGGGTGATGTCTGAGACGGCTTGGACTTGCTGTCCCGGCCTCTTGGTGTTGAGCCTCAGCAACAACAGCTTTGGTAATGGGTCTCTTCCCAAGGATGTCCTGTCTCCTCTGTGCAAGCTGCGCACTCTGAATCTGAATTACAACCGGCTAACCTCAGTGCCTCTGGGATTACCCACGTCTGTCAAGGAGCTATATCTAAAAGGGAACTACATTAAAGAGTTCTGTGGAGGAGCTTTCAGTGAGACTTCAGAGCTGGCGGTGCTCGATCTGGGTGCAAACAGGTTGACCAACAAAGGCCTGCTTAGAGATGCTCTCCTCAACACGACACACCTGGAGAGTCTCAACTTGGAAGGAAACAAACTAAAACACGTCCCACGACACCTTCCCTCTTCACTCAAAGCTCTGAACCTGGAGGGCAACCTCATATCAGCCATAAAAAAATCCACTTTCCGCACCTTAAAACACCTGGAACATCTGGGACTGGCACGAAATAAGATCTTCAAAGTGGCACCGGGTGCATTCAGGACATTACCCATGCTACATCAGTTGAACCTGGGCCACAATGCTCTGCACCAGGTGCCCAGACAGCTGCCTCAGAGCCTGCACTCAGTGGCACTCACCCACAACAGGATCCAGTCAGTGCCTCGCGATGCTTTTTGTTGGAGGGGGCGGAGTCTCAGCGGGCTGGTGCAGGTGCAGCTGGAACACAATTTAATCAATATGGGGAACCTAGATGCACAGGCTTTTAGATGCTTGAGAGGATTCCAGGTGGTGCACTTTTACTGAAGTCAAGGATCCAAACAGCTGAGCTGCTTGTGCACACAATAATAATTAAAATATGTCAAACTATGGAAGCCCATTCCAGCCGCTTTAATTAAAAAATCTCACGATTATGACTTAATTCTCTCATATTAATGAGATTTGGTCTCATAATAATGAGATCAAATCTCAATATTACGAGATTTTATCTCATAATTATAAGTTAGATATCTTATTATCATGGGATACTAAGTTATAATAATGAGAATTTTGTTTTTATCTGAGTGGCGGGAATGGGCTTCCGTGCGGTTCTTGCGATTGTAATAATATTTGACTTTGTCAAGGTGAGGCATTCAGAAACATTGATTTATTTTATTTTTGATCATATTGTGTGAAAGCCACCTTGAATAATTTGCTTCAAAGGGACGTTTCCACCCTTTTGAAGTGTGTTTATGGGTAAAATATTTAAAAACTGTAGCTGTTAGTAAAGGCTTTCTGAGCATCCTCTGTTCTGAAAAATAGAGTTTACATCCTGCAGGACTAAGGCCTAGTCCACACGTAGCCGGTTTTTTTTTAAACGAATATCCGCCCCTCCAAAAACTTGCATCCACACCACCTCGTTTTAAAAAGAAACTGTCCACACGTACCCGGATAAATACGTTGTTAAGGACATGCCAGACCTGTAGGCGGCAGTACTTCCCCCGTTCTTAACCTCGTCCTTCGTCTGTGGTCTTCCGCAAGGAGCAGTAATTCCGCTTGCAAAAACAAACAAGCAAAAAGCGCTTGGACAATTGATAAAGCGAGCGCAGCTCTGAGGGCGTCCATGCTGTCGGCTAGTGTAAACACAGGTCGCACACGTGATGTCAGCATTTTTTTGTCGCAGGAAGTGACGTTGCGGACCTTAAAACTCCGGTTTTGTCTGTCCACATGCAGACACCCAAAACGGAGAAAACACAGATCTTCACTTTGGCCGGAGTTTTTAAAAAGATCCGTTTTCGTGTGAAAAAACTCCGTTTTCGTGTGGATGACAGGCCAAAACGTAGAAAAATATCTACGTTTTGGCAGATCCCCGGCTACGTGTGGACAGGGCCTAATACTAATGGCTGGTCTGAGCAATGTAGTGAAAAATGACACAGAAGTGGTGGTTTAACAAATGTTTGCAGGAAGAAGCTTTATAAAATAAAATAAACAAAACTGGAAGTCCATATTGGCAATGTAGTGTTTCCCTGTGTTTAATAAAGTTTTTTTTTATTTCACTCATCTGCAGATATGATTTGTTATTTGGTCATGAAGAGATTCTAAATTTAATCAAGACATTACAGTAATGTGAATTTGTTATTCAGGAGGTGTGATTTGAGACTCAAACAGCTAGTTTATATGGATACCTACCTATACTTTTACTGTTGTTTTTTTAAATGTGCCACGTTTCCAAAGTTTCATCGTGAGTTAGAAAAAAGTAAAATTAAGATTGTTTTCCAAATAGAGCTTCAGTAAACAAAAGAGCCTTTTACAATACAACCACTAGAGGGAATAGCTCTCCAAGTTTTAAACTTGATTTCTACATCTTCTTTGGCCCCATTTTGCAAAGATAATGACAAAAAGTCACCTTTAATTTATTGTGTGTGTTTTTTATTTGGAATTATTAAACAGGAATTGTAAATCGATAAGCTAATGCAAATTGTGGAAGCATAGGCGACAGCAGATTGGAAAATCAGTAATGCAAGTTCAGACAAAAGCTTCAGCTGGAAGCTATTTATGATTCATGTCTCAGTAATGAGAGAGGGTTTAGCATGACCACAAGTCTGAAAAATTACTAGATAGGCTGACTGCAGAAGCTACAGTAAAAATGGAGGAACAGCACAGGCCCACGTGGAGGTGCTCAGCTCTTTTCTCCTCTTTCCATCTAAAGTTCACTCATCGACGTGGCACAACACTCACGGGTCCGAACGGGGAAAACAGAACAGGAGGAGGGGGTAACAGGGAGGGCTGGGGGAGAGGAAGAGGAACACGGGAGGGAGGGATTGAAGGATGGATCCACACTCCTCTGGATCTTAACTGGAGTGTCCAGAAGGGCCAGGACAGGGAGCTCACCAGCACCTCCCTACGGTCCAGCAGGACCCTGACCCATATCACATCACCTCATCTACCTGGAAAACCCTCCTCCTCCTTTTCCTCATGCTTTCTTTTTTTCCTTCAGTCGTTTTCAGATCAGATTCATGTATGCATAAATGCATGCTTTGGGGGAAACAGTGCCTCCAAAAGCGTGCATGTTTTCACCATCATTCTTGCATGGAAGACACGGTCATCAGGTGAACTGCTCCCCTGACGAGTCTGAGACCATGTGCTTTTAAGCAGATGACAGATGGTTGCATATATCTGTGTGCTGCAGTGTCATGTGCTGGATGCCTTCTGTAACAAGAACTTTCTCAGAATTACTGCTCAGAAGCAGACGTTCTTGCTTTAATTTTATTCAAGCTCGGTTTATAAAGATAGTGTGATCTCACAATGCATGTCCTCCAAAACCACGGTATGGACCTCTCCTTGGAGGCAGATGACATTAATATCCATATGTGGTTGCTTTCCAAATATTCAGATCCTGCAGCTGAAAACACAAAAATCGAAGCCCTTTTGTGGCATTTTTTGCTTCATTTCTCTCCACATTCATAAAGATACATCAGAAATCAGACCACAAAAAGAAAGAATGTAGAAAAAAAATAAATTAGTGAGGGAGCAGGAAATTAAACCACTCCCAAGGTGGGATTGAGCCAACATAAACGGAGATGTGGTATGATTCAGCTGTTCTTCTCTTTCTTTTTTCTAAACCCTTTCATGGAGCACAGACTTTAAAACACCAGAAAATGAATTCTTATTTTAATAAGCAGACTCACATGGGAGGGTTAGGGTTAGAGACGTAAAACAGAAAAAATCTCCATAAACACAAAACTTTAAGGGTTAGGATGAACTTCAAGGCTCTGTGGGAAAATGTGACTCGAGTTTAGCGTTTCACGGTTGAAACAGTGAAGCGAGAGGATGATGTAGTAATGAGAATGGCAGAGAGGTGGCGCTTGTGTTAGCCGAGAGAGGAGGAAGAAAAAAAGAGGGAGGAGAGAGAGTTGTGGAGGAGGGGATAGAGAGAGACCATGGGAGCCAGAGGGACCTCCAAACACAAAAACTGGTTTATAGCTGCAACAAAAAGAAAAACACACACATACACACGCACACACAAACACACATCAGTACACACGCACACACACACACACACACACACACACACACACACACACACACACACACACACATCAGTACACACGCACACACACACACGCACATATACACATGCACACACACGTGCACACACACACACACACACACACACACACACACACATACAGATGCAAACATACACACACACACACACACATGCACGCATACACACGCACACACACACACACATATGCACACGCATTCACACGCACATGCATACACACACACACACACACATATGCACACGCTTTCACACGCATAGACACACACACACATGCACACACACACACACACACACACACATACATACGCACACACATTCACATGCACACGCATTCACACGCACACACACACACACATGCAGGCATGGACACATGCACACGCATTCACACACACACACACACACACACACACACACACCCACACACACACACACACACACACACACACACACACACACACACACACACACACACACACACACACACACACACAGGGTGCACTTGTTACTCCTAAAGGGGCTTTTCTTGTTCATCTGCTATAATTAAAGGCTGATTTCAGATAAAACCTACAAACTGAATGTTGTGAAACATGTTGATATGCTTATTTAAAGATCCTTTTCTGAGCTTTTGGAGATTAATCAAACGCCAGGGCTTGACATTTTCAATCAAACTGCATTCAGATGAATAAAAGCACAACATGCCAACTCAGGAATACTGTTTGGACTTGTTTGAACATTTAATATCAGACCAGAAACACGTGGCCAGCTGGTGAATTTACAATAAATAAAGCTGCCAGCTCTCAGCCTCCCATTAGACCTGATGGCTGTTTACTGTGAAGTCGGTGGGTGTTCAGCTGTCAGCGTTTCCTTCTGCTCAACACGTGTCTGAGTCTATTCGTGCACAGACTCAAACAGCAATTCTGCTTTCTGTTCAGAGTGAGGACTTTGATTCTCTTCTGTCTGCACCTGTTCTGATTAATGATGCTGCAGAAACGCTTGAGTACATCCTGTAGATCCCAGTTGTCAGAATACCTAATATACACCTTAGAAACACTTTGAAGCAGCCAGACTACAGAACAGCTTGTTTGCAGCACATCCAGCTCTCATGCCTCTGTGTTTTTAGAGTGGTGTCATCAGCATATATAATACAGCAATAAAACAAGAAGTCCCCTAGTGGCTGGCTGCAATAAACGATTTAACTCCCACCCCTCCGTGCAGGGGTGGGCTGGCCTATCCCAGTGGGTTGCTTTACCAAAGTGGGCCCAGCTTGGGCTGAACAGAGACAACTCCACGCGTAGCACATGCAGCCTAAAAAATGCCCAAAACGTCACACATGCACAGGGTGTTAGCGTGTTTGTCTCTGTGCAAAACATCTCATCTCAAACTCTTGTCATCTACAATTTCTCAACCTCTGGAGTAAACCAAATTCAAGATGGCTGCCACAGCCAAGTGGCCTTGGCAAACACAAATAAAGAAGATCAAAATACTAGTTTGGATCATAAACCTTACCTGGGCTGGCATTCAGTCCTAAACCAAATTAGGCATAAAAACCAGATTACACTGAAGCGTGAAATGATTTTAATGGCTTCCAATTACTATTTAATCATCTTGTCCAATTTTTTTACTCCAACATTTGCCTCCCTGGTTCTATCACATGTATTTATCTCAGCCCAGTAGTTATCTGATGCATTTAAAAGGCCACCTATGCTTCTGCTGCTCCGAGGCTATTCTTACTTCACTACAAAATGACCTGCTTCTAGGTGTGATAGATGCTCATTATTTTGTCTGGGCTTTAAATTTTCTTAGTGCAAAAGATGCCATGACTATTCTCATAATAAATGTTTAATCTCACTTGATAATTGTTGCTTACATTCTAAATGCTGCTAAATAGAGGACAAGTTCCGAACTGACTGGTTTGGGTTGTTTGACTCCTGCTGATAAGTTTGGTCTTCGTGTCAAAGGTCAACCCTCCTCATCAACTTCCATGAGGATTTATGCTGGCAGGCCACCGAATCCCCTCGAGCGCTCAGGTTTCAACCAAAACAAGTCAAAACTAGACGGGCTTTAATGGTATTCCACCTGATGCTTGTGATCGTTTGCATTTAAAAATGAAAACTCCTCTAAAATTATTTCAGCCTTTTTTATTGATTTATAATTCTGCATCGTGCAAGACAGGATAGATTATTTTTATTTTAACCTTGAAAAAGTCCAAAGGACAAACCTACATCTTTAAATTGGGTCAAAGTTAGGAAACACTTTCCCAATTTTCCACCTTCTTCAGCTTATCCATATAACAGTGTAGACAGGTTACCATGAGGTTATTAATGACAAACAACAATATTTAAAGAGCCTAAAAGTATGGGACAACCTGTGGCGGGCCACAATTGCAGGCACTTTATAGAAATAAAGATATTTTTCTGAGTTTGCCAAGCTCTAACAGTGTTTTCCACCCCAGACATTACCTAATCCACCTTTCTTCCACTCCATTTTTACTGACGTGTTTTTGAAAGTCAATAAGCAGAAAGTAAGACATGCTTTCTCATTTTATAATAATATTTACACCTAAAATAGATCCAGCCTGTATTTTTATTCATTTCTTTTTTCACAATTTCAGCAAATATGTGAGCTCTTTTGTCAGTGCGAACTAATTCCCAAACATCTTTAAACAGCTTGAAAATATATCTTTGAATATTTTTTACATTTTATTCTGTTTTCATTTTGAACTTACTTTCTATTTTTTAACTTTCTAACACCCACACTTTAAAAAATAATTATACCCTCACATTTGTTTATTTATTTGTTTGTTTGTTTATTAATGTATTTTAATTCACAAGTTTTTTTAAATCATTTTTATTATGTTTAGTGCAAGTTTCAGGTAGCTAAATGGTAAATGGCCTGTATTTGATATAGCGCCTTCTAGATTCATGGAACCCCTCAAGGCGCTTTACAACACAATCA